CTATTTATCAATTCGTAAAATTTAAGTACATTATTTTGGACCTTATTTACTTATTCTTAAAAAGATGTATTTATTTATTTGAGAGAAAGTGAGAGGAAGAGCAGAGGGAGATAACCCCCAAGCCGACTCCCCGCTGAGCGTGGAGCCTGATGTGGGGCTCAATCCCACTACCCAGGAGATCATGACATGAGCCGAAACCAAGAGTTGGACACTTAACCGACTGAGCCACCCAGGCACCCCATGGACCTCACATCCATGTAAAAGAACACATCTAAGGGCACCTGGGTGGCTTAGTCACTTACGCATCTGCCTTTGGCTCAGGTTATGATCCCAGGGTCCTGGGATCAAGCCCCACATCGGGCTCTCTGCTCAGCAGGAGCCTGCTTTTCCTTCCCTTTCTCAAGTAAATAAATAAAATTTTTAAAGATTTTATTTATCTGAGAGAGAAAGAGAGAGCACAAGCAGGAGGAACAGCAGGCAGAGGGAGAAGCAGGCTCCTTGCTGAGCAAGGAGCCCGAGGTGGGACTCGATCCTAGGACCCTGGGATCATGACCTGAGCCGAAGGCAGATGTTTAACTGATTAAGCCACCCAGGCATCCCAATAAATAAAATCTTAAAAAAGAACACACAGGGATACCTGGGTGGCTCAGTCGGTTAAGCGTCTGCCTTCAGCTCGGGTCATGATCCCAGGGTCCTGGGATCGAGTCCCGCATCGGGCTCCCCGCTCTGCGGGGAGCCTGCTTCTCCCTCTGCCTCTCTCTCTCTCATGAATAAATAAAATCTTAAAAAAAAAAAAAAGAACACACAACTAGCAACAAATTTAATGAATTTCTTATTTATACTAGCTCAAATCATACATTATCAAGTAACTGCCGCCCTGTGCATAAGCCATTCTATAAATCAACCTCTTATAGATACTTCCTGTAGAAATGACTAAGATTAACCAGGATGGCCAACAGTTCCTCTGACTCATATATTAGAAATTTTAAGATTACAGAAATGTTGGGGCACCTGGGTGGCTCAGTCGTTAAGCATCTGCCTTTGGCTCAGGTCATGATCTCAGGGCCCTGGGATCGAGCCCCGCATCGGGCTCCCTGCTCCGCGGGAAGCCTGCTTCTCCCTCTCCCACTCCCCCTGCTTGTGTTCCCTCTCTTGCTGTCTCTCTGTCAAATAAATAAAATCTTAAAAAAAAAATAAGATTACAAAAATGTTGAGATATATTACACGTACAGAATATATAAAATGTATTTACAATGAGAAGAACAGCCAAGTAACTACCATCCAAGTCAAGAAGTGGAACATTGTCAGCATCTAGAAGCCCTGTGTGTACCTCTCTTGTATCATGAATCTTGACTCTAACAATCATTTCCTTGCTTTTTCTTAGTTTTACTTACCATGTATCTATATATGGTATCATTTTGCTTCTTTTAAAAATAACAAAGCAAATTACTTTTTCTTACAATACTGTGAAATTCATCCCAATTGTGTGTAGCTCTAGTGTTTTCACTGTATTGTGTTTATACAGATACCAAATTCATTTACTAATGGTGACATTCTAGGTTATTTCTGGTTTGATGAAAAACACTATTATGAAAATTCCTGGTGCACCTGTGGAAAAACACAAGTTATAGAAAATGTGCATCACCACATTGTTTTCAAAAAAGGTTCTACAAGTTCATTTGCCACTGGTAGTATAGATGACTACTGCTCCATGTCGAAAGCAACACTTAGTATTGTACCTAAATATTTTTGCCATTCTCGGTGGATGTTTGGTGGTATTCACTGTGGTTTTAATTTGAACAAATTTTCACTCACCGATGAGTCTATTTGCTACCCCCAGTTGGAAAAAGATCTTACTCCCCATATTATACTATATAAAACATTCTTTCCAGGTGCATGGTAAATCTAATTGTGAAAAGTAGACATTACTGTAGAAGCATTATGCTTCTAGAAGAATGCTGTCCAGAACTTTCTGCAATGGTAGAAATGTTATATAAATCTGCACTTTCCTATATGGTAGCCACTAGATACATGCTGCTATTGACATCTTCAAATGTCTAAGCAACTGAGGAAGTGAGCTTTAAATTTTAACTTTTGATTAACTTGAACTTTATGACAATTAAAGATTTCTGTTCATTAATAGATACCATTGAGAGTGAAAAGGCAAACCACTGAGGGGGAGAAATTACTTGCAAAGACAACTCCTACCTAGAACATATAAAGAATTGGAGCGCCTGGGTGACTCAGTTGGTCAAATGTCTTTTTTTTTTTTTAAATATTTTATTTGACAGAGAGAGACAACAGCGAGAGAAGGAACACAAGCAGGGGGAGTGGGAGAGGGAGAAGCAGACTTCCCGCTGAGCAGGGAGCCCGATGTGGGACTCGATCCCAGGACCCCGGGATCACGACCCGAGCCGAAGGCAGAAGCTTAACGACTGAGCCACCCAGGCGCCCCTAAATGTCTTACTTTTGATTTTGGCTTGGGTTATGATGTTGGGGTTGAGATCGAGCCCCACATCAGGCTCTGCATTGGGCATGGAGCCTGCTTGGGATTCTCTCTCCCACTCTAAAAAAATAAAAAATAATTTAGGTCATGAAAAAAGGCAGATAATAGCCCCAACCCCTCCAAGATAGGCAAAAGAAACACTCTTCAAAAGGGAGATACTCAAATGCTAATAAATATATGGCAGCCATAAGGGAACCACAAAACCGTGAGATATCATCACACCCAACAGAACGACAAAACTCAAAAGACAAAAGGTAAACAGTTACCAAGTGTAAGCAAGAACGTGGAGCAATGTATGAGAATACATTGATGATGTGTATTTTGGATAACTGACAGTACCTAATAAAGCTACACTATGCATAACCTATGGGTCAGCAATTCCATCCCTAGGAAATACCCAACCAAAACATATACATGTACATGCTAAAATTTTGACAAGGACCAGAATGCTCCTAGAAGTGTATTCATAATAACCCCAAACAGGAAATAACTCATGTCCAACTGCAGTAGAATGTGTAAGTACTACAAAATCTAGAAAACAAGAAAAACTAATCTATGGTGTTAAAAGTCAAAGTGGGAGAGGGTGCCTGGGTGGTCAGTTAAGCTTCCGGCTCTTGGTTTTGGCTCAGGTCATGATCTCATGGGTCATGGGATCGAGCCCCACATCGGACTCTATGCTCAGCGTGGAGTCTGCTTGTCCTTCTCCCTCTGCTCCTCCCCGGCTTATGCTTTCTCTCCAATAAGTAAAATCTTTAAAAAAAAGTGAAAGGGGAAGGGGTAATAAGGAAGCCAGGAAGGGGTGTGAAGAGAGCTTCTGTGGGTCAGGTAATGTTCTCTTTTTGCACTGGATGTGTTCATTCCGTGTTAACCAATTAGCCTGTCAGGCAGTGAGGCACTCATTCTCCCATACAACTCTGGACTTACCTCACCTTTGAAGTCGGCAATGGTAGTGGAAAACATCTCTTTAAGTCTGACTTGGCCTCGCTTAAGTCACATACCTTTCCTGGAGCCTCTTCAACCCCATTTGAACCACTGGATTAAGTAGTGAAGGGGTACTTCCCCAAGGGAAAACCAAGGCACTGTTCTCAGAAAAGGGTAAAATGAATGCCAGAGAGGTAAAAACATCTATGTATCTGGAGATCAAAAGAAAACCCCTAATTTGTAGTTCGTCCCTGAGTTATGTCAAATTTTGTTAAGAGTAATATATAGCTTTTCCTATCCAAAGCATCCAAGCTGCTTTGTGAAAGTCTCTGGACTTTCACAAGTCCAGAAGGAAAGTCCACAGGGAAAGAAATCTAATTTCTTATCAGATTTAACTCCAGTCTCTCCCTCCTTGACTATAGCTTACATACTATAGTTAAATTAATCTTTCTAGGGGCGCCTGGGTGGCTCAGTTGGTTGAGCATCTGCCTTCGGCTCAGGTCATGATCCTGGAGTCCTGGGATCGAGCCCACGTGGGGCTTCCTGCTCAGCGGGGAGTCTGCTTCTCCCTCTCCCTCTGCTGCTCCCCCTGCTTGTGCTGTCAAATAAATAAAATCTTTTAAAAAATTTAATCTAATATATGGCTCTACTTATAACAACTCCAACAAAGGAACCATATTCCCCTATCAAGGTTGAAGATTTTTAGCCTGTCACTCACGCTCTTCCATCATCTCACCTGAACTTTTTCAGTTATATGACTCCCTCTGTGTACATGTATTCAGTGCTTTTTAAATGTCTGTCACTGATCTATTTTATTTTTATTTAAAGATTTTATTTACTTGAGAGAGCACACACAGAGGCAGAGAAAGCAGCAGATTCCCCGCTGAGCATGGAGCCTGACATGGAGCTCGATCCCAGGACCCTGATATCATGACCTGAGCTGAAGGCAGACGCTTAACTGACTGAGCCACCCAGGCGCCCCATCACTGATCTTTTTAAATTATTCGGATGCAACTGATATTTAATGTATCAGTCAAGAGATATGGGCATTAGATTTCTTGTTACTTTCCCTTTTTGGCTTTAAAGCTATAATAAAATGATTTACGAATGCTAAATTTGATCCTTAATATTATGTCTTTTCTAAAACTCAGTATTCTTTTTTTGAGAGAGAGAGAGAGTAGGGGGAGGGGCAGAGGAGAGGGAGAATCTCACCCAGCACAGGAGCCTGACATGGGGCTTGATCTCATGGCCCTGAGATCACAACCTGAGCTGAAATCAAGTCAGACATTTAACCAACTGACCCACACAGGTGCCCCCAAATGTTAAGTTTCTTAAGTATATAAAATAAGACAGGCTCTTAAATAGGCTACCTGAATCTTTAGCTAACTTCATTTTGACTAAATGTCTCCATCTTTTTACCCTTACCTAAAACTGACTGAAATAACATAACCAATTTACTAACTTGATAGGGGATCAGAATTAAAGTGATTTTTAAAATTAAAAAAATAAAAGAGGAATTGTGGCATAAATGAGTGACATACTTTTAAAATAAAATATGAGCATGAATTAAATGTACAAACACATCACTATTTTTATTTGCATTTAAGCCAAATGTGCTGTGAGCTAGAAAGTTACTTACACAAGATGTATGATCCATTATACATTAACACAAATTTCAGAATGTGAAGTATAACAATAGTCTCTATTGTTCAAATCCACATTTAAAAAAAAATTTTTTTTTGAAGATTTTATTTATTTATTTGACAGAGAGAGACAGCGAGAGAGGGAATACAATACAAGCAGGGGGAGTGGGAGAGGGAGAAGCAGGCCTCCCGCTGAGCAGGGAGCCTGATGTGGGACTCGATCCCAGGACCCTGGGATCACGACCTGAGCCGAAGGCAGACGCTTAACGACTGAGCCACCTGGGTGCCCCTGAAATCCATATTTTTATCTAGAATACAGTATTTATAAACCTAACACCTCCCTGCAACAAAACCAACATTATTAGGGGAGTTGTTTGAATTATTTTTTAATAGCTACAGTGGAGCCCATTTTCCTCATTAAGTAACTATAGGGATTTAACATTCTTTAAGTGGCTTGATTACAACCAAGAATGTGGTATTGGTAATATATATATCAATTCACTCAAACATTCAAGAAAAAAGGACTTATTTTTTACTTAACCAAAAATGAATTCTGAAAATACATTAAAAAATACCCTCCCAACCACTGTTAACACACTCCTTTGTGCCTTCACACACCATGGTCCAGGAGTTACAATTTTTGTGCTTCCACAGGTCTTTCTATTTGGGCAGTTATCAATCGTCTTCTTTCTCAATATACGTCTTTGCATTAACCCGTGCCATTTGCCTGGCCAGGTACCTGTCTCTAGCCGACATTACAGTTTCTTCATTGCTTCGTTTTGCAAACTTGTTCCCCACCTCATGTGGTCTCTCTTGTTCTTTGCCCATCTCTTGGCATCCCTCTGTGAGTATGTGTTTTGCTCCCAGGGATGTTTCAGAACTGGAGGGTTTTTCTGGGTTTCTTTCTTTGTCCTTTTCCGTATTTCTCATTTTATTGGATCTTTCCCGGTCAAGAAACCTATCCTTTGCCCTAGAATTTGGGCTGCTTTCTTTTTTGTCTCGGCTTCTTTCTGAAGATTGAACACTTATTTCTCGTTCTCTATCTCTGTACTTATCACTGTTTTCATATCTTTCTTTCCTTGCTTTCATATGCTCTTCCTTTTCTTTGCTTTTCTCTTCTTTCTCTCCTCCTTTCTCATTGTGTCGGTCATGATCATTTCGTGGTCTATCTCTTTCTTGTTCTCTTGGGGAGTATTTCTCCCTGTCTTTCTCCCTTTTCCAATCTCTGTCATTTCTTTCTCTTTGGTCTCTTCCCCTCAGTTTATCTTCATGTTCATGCCTCTTCCAGTGAGAAGCTCTGTGACTGACCTCTCTGTGCCTCTGAGAATCCTTCTTTTCTTTTCGGGAACCACGGTCAGTGTAATAGTTCTCATGATCCCTGGATTGTCTCTCTTGGTGCTGATCTTCCCTTTTCTCATGAACTCCTGACTTGGACCTTTTTGTGTGGCATTTGGTACCATGCTCTCTTTCTTCACTAGAAGACCGTGAGTGCGCTTGATTTCTCTGATGCTTGGAGTCACTCTCGGAGGTCTCTGTGACCTTTTTCCTTCTGCAGTTCACTTTATTATTTTCTTCCATTTCGTCATCCTCACTATTAGCATAAAAGTCACTGTCTGCATCTGGGTTTTCTTCTGCTTGCACAACAGTTTGGAGACTGCATTTCTCATGTGGTATTCTGTTCTCTGAACTTACTTCATCAGAATAACCCCTTGATTTCTCTTCCTTTATCCCAGACCTTAAAACAAATAATATAACACAAAATGCCACATTATTACTGTAGTAATAAGCACATGAAGTGTTCATATAATTTTTCTCAATACTTAAACCAATGCAACTACTAAATGCAAAAAGGTGCTGTCTATTTACCTTGTAAACATCTGCAAACTAGTATTTTCTTTTTATTTTTTTTGAGAGAGAAACAGCATGACAGGGGAGAGGGTCAGAGGGAGCAGGCTCCCCGATGAGCAGGGAGCCCTACGTGGGACTCGATCCCAGGACCCTGAGATCACGACCTAAGCCAAAGGCAGTCGCTTAACCCACTGAGCCATCCAGGTGCCCCCAAACTAGTACTTTCTAACCATTCAGAATATTTTCAGAAAAAGGTAGAAGTGAAATAGAGAAAATGAGCCTTTCTGTATTGGACCACTAGAATCTTTAGGCATAAGTCTGTGTAAGGTCTTCATTTTTGTTAAGCATGACAAAGAAAAATTGGGAAAAGTAAGATATATTCTGGATCTAAGTACTATTTTCACAACATGAAGTTCAAGTTGCAGCTCTTTGTTGGATTCTTATTCCTTTCTTTTTAAAAAATTCAAGAATAGTCCTGGAAATAGCTGAGATATTTTCACAGCAAAATCTAATTCTAAATATCACTAAATAATCTCTTATGATTAAAAAGGCACGAGCATCCTGGTATTACCCCCTGGCACCTATCACAACAAAATAGGAATACGTGAATCCATCTGATTACAATCCACTAAAAATTGTTTACATTACCTACATTTTCCCAACTGATAAGTGCGGCTCATTTATTTACATTAGCCACACGTTCATTCTTACTGATCGCATAATAATCATACTAAGAGAACAACTGTGGTTCTCTGGGAACTGCTGGCAGAACTGTCTTGGCTGAAGGATTACCTAATACTTTGGAATTCTATTATTAGACTCTGAGAAAAGTACAACTATTAAATGACATTATGGAGTTTCATGGCTGGCCTCACAACTATTCCAGATGAAACTCTAATAGAAATTCTAATTTTCCAATCAAAAATCTGTCTTCAAATATATTTTCTTAGACTCACAATTTTCATCAATTTTGTAATCAAACCCAGCATTTGGAGGGGGGGAGGGAAGGTGGAGTATAAATCTAATTCTGTCTCTTTAGCCTTAATTCTACTCTTTCCTTTTCCCAGCAACACAGACTTAGATCCTCTAATATGAATGTTTCTGTTCCAAAAAACCATTTACTCAGATACAAGCTTAAGACAAATTCTCCCTTTTACCTTCAGCTATATACTTATGACAGTCATTTCACCATTCCTACAATATCTTATAATTTTATCAAAAAACCCCTCCAATCCTTACTTTCTATGCCAGTGCTAATGGACATATCTACAGACATGGTAATGTTCATATCTGTGCCATCTAATATGGTAGTCACTAGCCAAATGTGGCAACTGAGTATTTGCAATGTGGCTACACATCAGGTAGTGCATTTCTAGCTGTTGATACGTGAATCTTCTGTTTTATAGAGGCCATGTTCTATTTACGGAAATAAACCACTTCTCTTATATACTATTTGAACATACATGTAATCCGTAGGTTTTGAATTAAGAAACTGCAAATCCCTAGCAATTCAATTAGGTCAGGTTTGGCTGACAACACAATATGCAGTGCTGCAATCCTCTATCTTTCAAAGGGTTAAAATGATCCCACAACCACAGATCATGAAAGGAATCTTTCTTCTACTATTCCATATGCCGCGTCTCACCTGGCTTCACGAAAGCTGCATGTAGGTACTTCCTCTTCACCAACTGCTTGATTTAACAGGTGTCTATAAAATCCACTGAGATCTTTCTGCTTGGTTACATCCAAACGTGCTAAGAGAGGGCAAGCAAAAGTGAGAGGAATAGATTCAACAAGGCACAACACAGTTCAGTTTTAGAGGTACAGAGAATGTCACATACACAGTGTATCAACTACTCTTTGGATCTAGCTGGCAAACTATAGCCTGCATGCCAAATGTGGCCTACTGTTTTTGTAAAGAAATTTTTATCGGAATGTAGCCTTGTTCATTTATTGTTTAAGGCTGCTTTTCCATTAGAAAGGCAGAATTTAGTAGCTCCAGCAGAGATCATATGGTACACAAAGCCTAAAATATTTACTTATCTGGTCCTTCACAGAAAACTTGCCAACTGGTATTCTATATAAACACATAGTACATGCCTAGACAGAATATTATAGATTTGATTTCCTTCTATTTAAAACTTCTATGAGCACTTGCCAATTAAGTTATTTGTAAGTATACAATGTACTTAGATCTTGAGAAATGACCACGATTAGAAAGTCTGAAGTAAAGCCCTAAGACATTCTTTGGCTCCTGCACATTTTTGTTCTTTCTTGAATTAACATTATTCTTTTTCTGAAGGCCCACCCAGTTCCTTGAGTGATGTTACTCTAGTTTTCTAAACCCAGAAAATATAAGTAGGATTTAAATCTTAGTTTATATTGCTTCTGACAAATATCGTGTGGTGTATGACTTATAATAAAGGTTTTTTACATTTGGAATTATTTTCTAAGGCAATGACTTGTAATGGCCATAGTTTTAAGAAACAAAATGAGAGATGTGAAAAGTCCAATAGAAGTAATAGTTACTAAACGTACAGCTATGGGGCGCCTGGGTGGCTCAGTTGTTTAAGCATATGCCTTCAGTTCAGATCATGATCCCAGGGTCCTGGGATCGAGCCCCGCATCGGGCTTCCTGCTCAGCGGGAAGCCTGCTTCTCCTTCTCCCACTCCCCCTGCTTGTGTTCCCTCTCTCGCTGTGTCTCTCTCTGTCAAATAAATAAATAAAATCTTTAAAAAATAAATAAAAGTATAGCTATGTTTTTAGTCATTGTCTTTTCTCCATTTTATAATATCACAGAATATCGTATCTACACCTCGAGTTCATATACACAAATGAGGACCACAACATTATAATCTAGAAGTTCAGGGACAGAGCAAATGGCGAAACCACAGGGCAGAATTTTGCTGCTTCTGTTTCCTTCTCCCCTCCTCCCTCTTCCAGTTCACCTTCGAGTGCAGCAGCCCTTTTTTCTCTTTCTTCCTCTTCAGCTCTCTCTTGCAGTTTTTTCTTATAGGCAGATGTCACAAATGCCTCCTTATCATCAAATTCTCCCTTCTCCATTTCTCGTTCTCTCTGTATTTTTTTTTCCATTCTCTTTTCCTGTTCCTTTTTTCTGATCTCAACTGCTTTTAGTAGGTTGTGAATATACTTGGGCTAGAGGAAAAAATAAGATTTAGGGAAGAATCAAGGATAAAAATTAAGAATATTCTGTTTTTATCATGAATTTATTAGGATAAAAATGGCTAGTCCAAATAGGTGGGACTGTCATCATCTCAAAATTAAATATAAATTTAACTAGCAAGACTGAAACTAAAATTCTTTTCAAGAAAAATTTAAGTGTAAAGACAGAAATAATTCAAAATCCTATTTTACTTTAAAATTTCAAACTAAGTAATTTTTCCACTGTGTTTTCACCCTTTTTACAGGTATTATCTCAATATTTCAACAGATCAGTGAATCAGAAAGGTTCTTACTAGTTTTTCACATTAGTTGAAATACGGTTATTTAAAAGAATACATGGGGGCTCCCGAGTGGCTGAGTCGGTTAAGTGTCCGACTCGATCTCAGCTCAGGTCTTGAACTCGGGGTCGTGAGTTCAAGTCCTGCACTGGGCTCCACATGGAGCCTATTTAAAAAAAAAACAGCTATAATTTTACACCACTACCCTACTTGTACATACTATAAAATGTAAAGATCTTTAAAAATCAGTCTGTGCTTGTGAAAGAAGAAGAATGATAGTGTGAATTTATATCAAGACCCCACTCTCAATTATTTTTTCAAACTAAAAATATGATCATATGTGCAGATGATTCAGTTACCAGCTTGAAAGCAATAAAGAAATGAGAGGATGATAAAACACAAAAATATGAACAGGAAGAGGAGTTTCTAATACAAAGACTTTTTTTTTTTTTTTTTAATTTGAGAGAGGGATCGAGAGAGAGCATGAGTAGGGGGAGGAGCAGAGGGAGAGGGAGAAGCAGACCCCCCGCTGAACAGGGAGCCCAACGTGGGGCTCAATCCCGGTCCTCTAGGACCATGACCTGAGCCGAAGGCAGACGTCCAACCGACTGAGCCACCCAGGTGCCCCTAATACAAAGACTTTCTAAGAAAAAAAAGTTCAAAAATTTATTTGTGGGGCGTCTGGGTGGCTCAGTTGGTTAAGCGACTGCCTTCGGCTCAGGTCATGATCCTGGAGTCCCTGGATCGAGTCCCGCATCGGGCTCCCTGCTTGGCGGGGAGTCTGCTTCTCCCTCTCCCGCTCCCCCCTCTTGTGCTCTCTCTCTCTCTCTCACTCTCTCTCTCAAATAAATAAATTAAAAAAAAAAAAAATCTTAAAAAAAAAAAATGTATTTGTGAAGGTGGTAAAACAAAAAATCAAAACTTATTGTTTTTATTGTTAGATAATTTACTCACTCCTATTAGGATACTAAATGCAGGGCTTTGTGGGTTCTAAATCAAAACTGTATTATCTGGAACTAGGGGCTCTTCACACTTCAAATACCCTTATAAAAGCTTTTTCTCAGATCATTCCTCATGCTAAATAAGATTAAGATATAAAATGCAGGTCAAGGGGTACCTGGGTGGCTCAGTCAGCTAAGCGTCCAACTCTTGATTTCAGCTCAGGTCATGATCTCACGGTAGTGAGATCAAGCTCCGTGTCAGGCTTCACACTCAGCGGGGAGTCTGCTTGAGATTCTCTCCCTCTACCCTCTCCCACCCCTCACTTGTACATGCATGCTCTCACTCTAAAATAAATAAATAAATCTTTAAAATACAGGTTGAGGTCAAAGAAATTTGTATTTTCAGCTACAAACCTTTCGGTCTTTTCCCAAAATCAATTTGGGATTATTTTCCTCCTTTTTTTTCTGCATTTCATCATAAATACTGTCATATTCATATACAGTAGAATCTTCTGCAAGGGCCTTCTGGATTTCTAGTTTGGTCTAAAATAAACAAACAAACACGTCTAAAAAATATGAACCAGCTAAAACATACGATAAAAAGTCTTGGTTAACTTTTTTGAGAGAGGATCATGAATCAGATATATATTACAAAAATTCTATCAATCACATTTTAGACTGAAAATATAAACATCGGTCTGGAGCCAGGCTGCCTGGGTTTGAATCCTGGCTCTATAACTTATTAGCTACTTGGGGCAAGTTTGTGTAATCTTTTTGTGCCTCAGTTTTCATCTAAAAAAATGAGGATAATAATTGTATCTACCTTCCAAGTTGTTGTATTATCTACTTTATATAGTTCATTCATATATGATTTTTTTTCATATAGGATTTTTAAAAATAAACAAAACACCTCAAACCAAGATCAGAGAAGAACTTCTGAACTTAGCTTGACAACAGATATCTACCAAAGACCTACTGCAAATAGTACACCTAATGATGACATTTAACAGCTTTTCCAATGAAATAGGGAGTAAGATAATGTTGCCATCATCAGTCCTGTGCACTTGAAGACCAGATAAAAGAACAGAAAGGAAAAAAAAGTATTGTCTAACTATTAAAACACCCCATTTCTTAAAAGGAATTTGAATGGGCAAAGAAGGAAGTCACACTCTCACTCTTCGCAGATGACATGATGCTCTATGTGGAAAAGACTCCACCTGAAAATTGCTAGAACTCATATAGGAATTCATCAAAGTGGCAGGATATAAAATCAATGCAAAGAAATCAGTTGCATTTCTATACACTAAAAATGAGACAGAAGAAAGAGAAATTAAGGAACTGATCCCATTTACAAGTGCACCAAAAACTGTAAGATACCTAAGAATAAACCTAACCAAAGAGGCAAAGGATCTGTCATCAGAAAACTCTAGAACACTCATAAAAGATACTGAGGACACAAAGAAATGGAAAAACGTTCCATGCTCATGGACTGGAAGAACAAATATTGTTAAAATGTCTATGCTACCGGGCGCCTGGGTGGCTCAGTTGGTTAAGCGACTGCCTTTGGCTCAGGTCATGATCCTGAAGTCCCGGGATCGAGTCCCACGTCGGGCTCCCTGCTCAGCAGGGAGTCTGCCTCTCTCTCTGACCCTCCCCCCTCTCATGCTCTCTATCTCATTCTCTCTCTCAAATAAATAAATAAAATCTTATAAATAAATAAATAAATAAAATGTCTATGCTACCTAGAGCAACTATACATTCAATGCAATCCCTATCAAAATAACAACCAGCATTTTTCACAGAGTTGGAACACACAATCCTAAAATCTGTATGGAACCAGAAAAGACCACCCTGTGTAATAATCAAAGGAGTGTTGAAAAAGAAAACCATAGCTGGCAGCATCACAATTCCAGACTTCAAGCTCTATTACAAAGCTGTAATCACCAAGACAGTATGGTACTGGCACAAAAACAGACACATAGATCAACGGAACACAATAGAGAACCCAGAAACGGACCCTCAACTCTATGGTCAACTAATCTTCGACAAAGCAGGAAAGAATATACAATGGAAAAAAGACAGTGTCTTCAACAAATGGTGTTGGGAAAACTGGACAGCCACATGCAGGAGAATGAAACCGGACCATTTTTTTACATCATACACAAAAAAAGACACAAAACAGATGAAAGACCTAAATGTGAAACAGGAATCAAAGTCCTTGAGGAGAACACAGGCAGCAACCTCTTTGACCTCGGCTGCAGCAACTTCTTGCTAGACACGTCTCCAAAGGCAAGGGAAGCAAGGGCAAAAATGAACTATTGGGACTTCTTCAAGATAAAAAGCTTCTGCACAGCAAAGGGAACAATCAACAAAACTAAAAGGCAACCTACAGAGTGGGAGAAGATATTTGCAAATGACATATAGCATAAAGGGCTAGTACCCAAAATCTATAAAGAACTTATCAGACTCAACACCCAAAGAACAAAGAATCCAATCAAGAAATGGGCAGAAGACATGAACAGACATTTCTCCAAAGAAGACATACAAATGGCCAACAGACACATGAAAAAATGCTCAAGGTCACTCAGCATCAGGGAAATACAAATCAAAACCACAATGAGATACCACCTCACACTGGTCAGAATGGCTAAAATTAACAAGTCAGGAAACAACAGATTTTGGTGAGGATGTGGAGAAAGGGGAACCCTCTTACACTGTTGGTGGGAATGCAAGCTGGTGCAGCCACTCTGGAAAACATTACAGGGGTTCCTCAGAAAGTTAAAAATAGAGCTACCCTACAACCCAGCAACTGCACTACTAGGTATTTACCCCAAAGATACAAATGTAGTGATCCGAAGGGACACCTGCACCCCAATGTTTATAGCATTATATAATAGCCAAACTATGGAAAGAGCCCAGATGTCCATTGACAGATGAATGGATAAAGAAGATGTGGTATACATACACAATGGAATATTACTCGGCCATCAAAAAGAAAAAAAAAATCTTGCCATTTGCAATGACATGGATGGAACTAGAGTGTATTATGCTAAGTGAAATAAGTCAATCAGAGAAAGACAATTATCATATGATTTCACTCATATGTGGAATTTAAGGGGCACCTGGGTGGCTCAGTCAGTTAATCATCTGCCTTCAGCTCAGGTCATGATCCCAGGGTACTGGGATGGAGCCCCGAGTTGGGCTCCGTGCTCAGCTGGGAGTCTGCTTCTCCCTCTCCCTCTGCCCCTCCCCCTGCTCGTGCTCTCTCTCTCTGCTCCCTCTCTCTCAACTGATAAAATCTTAAAAAAAAAATACGTGGAATTTAAGAAACCAAACAGAGAAGCATAGGGGAAGGGAGGGGAAAATAAAACAAGACGAAATCACACAGGAAGACAAACTGTAAGAGACTCTTAGTCATAGGAAACAAACTGGGGGCTGCTGGAGGGGCGGGGAGTAGGGGGGGATGGGGTAACAGGATGTCAGGCATTAAGGAGGGCACGTGATGTGATGAGCACTGGATGTTATGTACAACTGATGAATCACTGAACCCTACCTCTGAAGCTAATAATAATACAATATATGTTAATTAATTGAATTTAAATAAAAAAGTAATACCTTAAAAAAATAAAATAAAATACCCCATTTCTAAGAGTATTGTATCTTAGATTTAGTAAATGCAGTCAAGTTAGTATTCTTCATCATAAAAGTTAGTTTGGGATTAAAGCAGAAGACAAGAGCTAAATCATCCAAGTGGATGGGGAATAAAGTGAAAAGCAGGAAGTATAGATGAGAGATCAAAGGGGCAGCAGGCAGGTAAAGGTACAAGAATAGCTATAGGAGCACTCCTAACTTGCAAGCAAACTATGAGAAAAAGTTTCACTAATAGGAAAAGTGGTTTTGGACAGCTAGGATTAAGAATAAAATTAGGTTTGGGATTTATGCTTTAAAAAGTAGGTAAGAAGGGGCGCCTGGGTGGCTCAGTCATTGAGCGTCTGCCTTCAGCTCAGGTCATGATCCCAGGGTCCTGGGATCGAGCCCCGCATTGGGCTGCTCAGCAGAGCCTGCTTCTCCCTCTCCCTCTGCCGCTCCCCTTGCTCGTGCTCTCTCTTTCTCTCTCTCTGTGTCAAATAAATAAATAAAATCTTAAACAACAACAACAAAAAAAGTGGTTGCCATCTGGGTATTCTCTAAGACTGATGAATCACTGACCTCTACCTCAGAAACCAATAATACATTATATGTTAATTAACTGAATTTAAATAAAAAAAGTATTTAAAAATTTAAAAAATTAAAAATAAAAGTTATTTTTATGTAGGGTTTCAAACAGAAAAAATAGCATACACACACACCCATGCAATAAAACAGAACTCACACTCAAGAATATGTCACCCAGCTTACGAACTAGAATATTACAAGTATCTTCAAAGTTATCTATGTGTTCCTCCATGATTTCCTTTGCCTACCACACAGACGTAAACAATATTCTAAATTTAACGCTTATTTTCTCTTCCTTTTCCCCCCACATATGTATATGGCTCTAAGTAATATATTCTATGATGTGCTGTTGTTATCAGCTTTATATAAATAGTATCAGCTTCATTAAAAAAAAAAAGTGGTTGCCATAGTATCTGGCACATTAGAAAGTGTTTAACAAATTTAACCTCATGCAGGATTCCAGGTAGACAAGAGAGAAACAGATGCCAAATGTTAAAGAAAATGTGGCGAGGAAAAAATTAAAATTAAAAAGAAAGGTACTATGCCATTGTTTAATTTCATTATGTTCTGCAGCAGCTAAATCTAAGATACAATGGCATAGTAGAAAAATTAGTAAACCTTCACGCCTAGTTCTGTAATTAGCTGTGTGATCATGAGGGGTAATTTTTTTTTTTTTAAAGATTTTATTTATTTATTTGAGAGAGAATGAGATAGAGAGAGAGAGAGGATGAGAGGGGGGAGGGTCAGAGGGAGAAGCAGACTCCCTGCTGAGCAAGGAGCCCGATGCGGGACTCGATCCTGGGACTCCAGGATCATGACCTGAGCTGAAGGCAGTCGCTTAACCAACTGAGCCACCCAGGCGCCCTCATGAGGGGTAATTTATCCTTTTGAAGTTTCAGATTTCTTAACAGACCATGGGCAGGTTTGTGAGAATTTTAAAAACATAATGTATGTATAAGAAAGTGCTTGGAAATATGACAGAGCACTATATAAATATAAGGTGCAAGGCAAATCTATTGAAAATTATCAGATATTCCCCATTCTCAGTAGCCGAATTTCAAATAATTATAAAGTTATGAAACCACTTTGGTGTGAAGAGACTTTTTTTAAGTAGGCTCACTAGTAAGAATAATTAAACCAGGTGGCGCCTGGGTGGCTCAGTCATTAAGCGTCTGCCTTCGGCTCAGGTCATGATCCCAGAGTTCTGGGATCGAGCCCCGCATGGGGCTCCCTGGTCTGCGGGAAGCCTGCTTCTCCCTCTCCCACTCCCCCTGCTTGTGTTCTCTCTCTCGCTGTGTATCTCTCTCTGTCAAATAAATAAAATCTTAAAAAAAAAAAAAAGAATAATTAAACCATATAATCCAATATAAGACTCCTGAGTCATCTAAAAGCAGAAATGGGTTTAATCTACAACACAGCAATGAAGAGTTAATTCTTCATTGTGCTTTTTCCATGTAAATTTATCACAAAAACCTGAAATATATGTAAATCAAGAAACATCTTAAACATTTTCAGAAAAGAAGGGTTAAGATAAAATTATTTCTTCATACACAACTACTCTGCTCTGTCTCAGGACCTAGATACCAAAACTGATACTGAAATACTTATTTCACCAAATACATTTAATTCCCTCAGCCACCTTACCTGTTTCATTGCTTGCTTCTTAGCAGCTTCCCTCTGAAGGCTTTCACTCACGGAGGTCTGTAAAACATAAAAATGTTGTCTTTGTTTAAGCCAATTTAAAATTTCTTTTCCAGTATTCTGGTTGGCAATTAGTTCCTTACCTATACTAAAAACCAGAAAAGTATTATGAAAAAATATTATAATTAAAGAAACATTTTCAAGGTCTTTTACCAAAACCTTAGGAAACAAATGAATTTTATTATAAATCAAAAGCGGAGGCTGTAAGGTGTAAGAGAAAATAGAATGGTACGTGAAAAAAATGAGGTAACATGGCTTTTTTTTTTTTTTAAGATTTTTAAAATTTATTTATTTGAGAGAGAGAGTGAGAGAGAGAGAGAGCACAAGAGGGGGGAGCGGGAGAGGGAGAAGCAGACTCCCCGCCAAGCAGGGAGCCCGATGCAGGACTCGATCCAGGGACTCCAGGATCATGACCTGAGCCGAAGGCAGTCGCTTAATCAACTGAGCCACCCAGGCGCCCGGTAATATGGCTTTTTATTCCCAACTTCACCACTAAGGCACGCAATCTCTACGATTTCAATTATTCTGTGTGCACATGTGAACGTGAGTGAACATGCATGTATTAGGTGGGGGAGCACTGGTCCCTTCCAACACATTTAGTGGTATGATTCCCAGCAACAAAAAGCACATTTTTAAAAATATTCACCACTGAATATAGTATATCAAGTTCTTATTATATGCCTAAGGCTTAGGGGCAGCCAGAACTATCTGGGGTTATAATCATTCAATAAATATGTACTAAGGCATTGTTCTAGCTCCTGAAGATAGTGGGGAAAATAAGAACAGTCTCTATCCCTGAGAGATAAATGGTCTGAAAGGGAAGACTGAGATAATCATAATATAGATGTGATAAGCTATATAATAAAGAGATTTTTTTTTTTAAAAAAAGGGCTGTAGGAGCAAAGAATCAAGAAAGCCTTCCTAAAAGAGATACGACATTAGACCTGAATCAAAAAGAATTTAAGAAAAGGCAAGAGGTGTTTAGGAAGCAGTAACCATAAGGGCAAAAGTAAACATTTACAGCTAAGAAAAAATATATAATTAAACTACTTAAAAAAACGTTTTCTCTAAAAGTATAAGGTTTCGTAAATATACTAACCAACACTGAAATGTATACTTTAAAAGGGCAAATTTTATGTTACGTGAATTTTATCTTAGATGAATTTATCTTTTATTGAAAAATATAATCCTCATCCCTAGGACTATAGTTTTCTAGCCTATTGGCATTTGCTGCTTTTAGCTATACAGTATCAATTGGTGCTTCCTTTGTTTTCCACGGCAACCAAGAGAACATAAACCTAATTCCAGTTCCCTATGACCATGGAGACTCACAAAGGCCATACAAGTAATAGAATACACGGGGCGCCTGAGTGGCTCAGTTGGTTAAGCGACTGCCTTCAGCTCAGGTCATGATCCTGGAGTCCGGGGATCGAGTCCCGCATCAGGCTCCCTGCTCAGCAGGGAGTCTGCTTCTCCCTCTGACCCTCCCCCCTCTCATGTGCTCTCTGTCTCTATCTCATTCTCTCTCTCAAATAAATAAATAAAATCTTTAAAAAAAAAAAAACAAGTAATAGAATACATACTTAATAAATTAAAAGAAGTGGACAGGCAAGGAACTAAGGACATTTTAGGTGACAGTAAACTGACTACAACTAGAGAAAAAGATACTGATAACAAAAACAGCAGCAGCTAACATTAACTGAGCCAGGTGCTATGCTAAGTGTATTACTTGTATATTACATTAATTACTTGTTTAACACAAATTTCCCTGTTATGTGATACATTTGTACTCATTAGAATATCAATTTTAAACATTAAAATATTAACTATTCTAATAACCATCTCATGAATTCTTTCCAATCTATTTTTAATGTCTCAGTCTTTCTAATCAGTGTAAATTAAGTATTTCTTGATCATTGACTCAGTAATGTCTTAAGGACTAACTAGAAGAGTAAGTCTCCAAATACTAGACTTTTACTTCTTTTACTTGCTTTTATTATTTTTTTCCTATCTCTCCTCCAATCACAGTTCACCTGCTGTCACTTTCAAACTGGTTGCTTCAACCTAAACTATTGAACTTAGAAAAATAAAACACAAAGCTAGTACTTTTTAGACTCATATAATACAGAATAAGCAGACTGGGAAGGGCCTTTCCAATGTAAAGTGTATATACTGTGAGACATAAGAGGTTTTGTTTCCATGTTCATAGCCATTTTGAAGGATGATGTGTGTCTGTCTGCCCTTTGAAAAAATCAGTTATTACTTACAGGGTGATAACATAATGGAGGGAGTACAGTAATTTTACAAATTCTATTCATAGACTTGTATCCCTGGAATTCTAACAGCATCATCAGTGGATAAAGAGGTAGCTCTGAACCTAAGCTGAAAAAGTCAGGGAAGATTATCTCCTTTTGAAGCTCATTTGATTCTCAGTTTTCTAACTAAAAGAACTCTGACAATGACTTAATGTTTTCACTAAAATGCCAACAAACTGAAAATATTTGGGCACCTGGGTGGCTTAGTGGGTTAAGTGTCTGCCTTCAGCTCAGGTCATGATCCCATGGTCCTGGGACGGAGCCCCGCCTCGGGTTCCCTGCTCAGCGGGGGGCCTGCTTCTCACTCTCCCTCTGCTCCTCTCTCTTCTTGTGCTTGCTGTTATCTCTTGCACACACTCTCTCTCAAATAAATAAAATCTTAAAAAAAACTGAAAATATTTTAAGTTGAAATGCATTTAATACACCTAACCTACCCAACATCATAGCTTAGCCCAACCTACCTTAAAGGTGTTCAGAACACTCACATTAGCTACAGTTGGGCAAATCCACCTAACACAAAGCCTACTTTATAATATAGTGCTGAATATCTAATGTAATTTATTGAATACTGTACTGAAAGTGAGTAAAAGAATGGTTGTATGGGTAAATAGTTGTTAGTGTATGGATTGTTCACCCTCATGATCACATGGCTGACTACGAGTGAGCTGTGGTTCACTGCCAATGCCTTGCCTCATGACAAGAGTACTGCACTTCACTAGCCCATGAAAAGATCGGAATTCAAAATTTGAAGTACAATTTCTACTGAATGCGTAACACTTCCGCACCACTGTAAAGCTGAGAAATCCTAAATCAAAGTATTCTAGGTTGGGGACCATCTATGGTTTCTATAAAAAGGAAGGAGGAGAGCCTGGCTGGCTCAGTTGGTAGTGCTTGCAGCCTGTGACCTTGGGATCGTAAGTTAAAGCCCCAGATATCACAAAACACTTTAGGGCGCCTGGGTGGCTAGTTGGCTAAGCGACTGCCTTCGGCTCAGGTCATGATCCCAGGGTCCCGGGTTCGAGTCCCGCATCAGGCTCCCTGCTCCGCAGGGAGCCTGCTTCTCCCTCTCCCACTCCCCCTGCTTGTGTTCCCTCTCTTGCTGTGTCTCTCTCTGTCAAATAAATAAATAAATAATCTTTAAAAACAAACAAACAAAAAAAAAACCAAAACACTTTAGTTCTTGCCACAAAATATTCTAGTCTACAAATGGCCTAAGGAAAATAGCTGTTAAATAATATGATTAAGGATGAATGTAAGTGATCTAACCATACAATACAGTCATTAATTGATTAGTTTTAAAATTAGCAGGCATGCAATTATTCTAATTTTATGTTTGAAGACCAATTAGTTCACAGAATAGAAGAGAATATTCATTAATAGTGCCTTCTAATAAAACCACAAATTACCATTAGTTTTAAATGTAGGAAGATAAAAATTATTCCCCGTAAGGGCCTTTATCTTTTTTTTTTTTTTTAATGTGCGAGAGAGCAAGCTTCCGTGTAAGCAGGGAAGGGCAAAGGGAGGAGAGGGATAGAAAGAATCTCAAGATCTCAAGTAGGCTCCACACCCAGTGCGGAGCCCTACAAGGAACTTGAACTCACCACCCTGAGATCATGACCTGAGCCAAAACCAAGAGTCAGCCACTTTACTGACTGAGCCATCCAGGCGCCCTGGGCCTTTATCTTAAAGAAAAAAATAATTCAAGTTATAAACTGGCTCTTATGTAAACATTCCAACTGTCCTAAAAGTGTAAAAACTGCTATTGTACCACACCAATCTTTCAAAACAGGTTTTGTACCAAAAATCTCAGGGAAATAACCTTTTATAAAACCTGAAGTAGTAGTTCCTTGCAAATATTTCAACTTGATTCAACAAACATGTTCTGAGAGCCTACTACGTGTACAGCACTAAAAGTGGGAGAGGAGCCACATTTGATCAACATCTTAATTTTTTGTCTAATCTAAGAGTTGGTAGGTTTCTTTTAATTTCCAAATAAGAAATTAACATGAAAAAAAAGAGATAAAATGCCAGGTCCATTTTATAGATACTAATAATATATAATAATACCCTCTGCGCGCGTGCGCACACACACACACACACACACACACACGGTTATCAAGATAGGCACCATAAACTGCAGAATTAAGAAAAACACCGCGACTGGCTGTTCTTAGTCTTTACTACCTCCCCTAGTCGTTTGTTCTGTGTAGAGAATAAAAATTATTTAATCGGGTCCCTGGGTGGCTCAGTCAGTTAAGCAGCTGCCTTCGGCTCAGGTCATGATCCCAGAGTCCTGGGATTGAGCCCTGCATCGGGCTCCTTGCTCAGTGGAGAGCCTGCTTCTCCTCTCCCTCTGCCCCTCCCCCCACTTGTGCTCTCTCTCACTCTATACTCTGCCCAAATAAATAAAATCTAAAAAAAAAAAATTTATTTAATCGATCTAATGTTTCATTGGGATGCAGTCTGACAGAGATGATCTAATTAAAAGGGAAATGGTTTTTAAAACCTTCACAATTAGTTCAGATAAATGCAAGAGAAAACCACAATCAGTGCATTTCTTACATCACTACACATGTTTAGATGGGCTGACTCCTGGGCTTTGATAACTGCCAGAAAAGAACAGTTTTATATATATTACTACAGCCCCTTCACCAATACACAGAATACAGTTTAATGGCACTGGGAAAGAAATAAGATACTGGACCATTAATTTATATTATTGAATTACCTTTCTTCAGTCACACTTTTTACAGAATTAAACAAAAATTAAAAAAAATTAAGAATAAAAATTCAGAAAAGGTTTCTGAGTATTTTTTTTGCAGAAATCTCTTTTCCATAACTAATAAGTCACAGATTTTAAAAAATCACATATAGCCTTTATATGTGAAATAAGACATTTACCTATCCACTTATCCAAAACAGTTCTCAACTAAAGAAAAAACAGTTCAAGAATCAATCCTTCCTCAAATGGCTTATGGCTATAATTTTCAGTTGTGCTCTGAGAATTTAGAAATGAATACTTCCTGTTCTTTATTATTTTTTTTAACTTAGCAACAGATCATTTACTAAAGGTCCTACAACTCAGCAATCTCTATTATGAGCTTTGTCCACATTCACATGCTTCTTTTGTAAGTACAAAGCCTGTTTAAGAGTTGCAAAAAATACATAAAATTTTTATTATATATGCTAAGAAAAAATGGACATGGCTATCAACAGAAAATTTAGAAAAGAGAAAATATAAATGACCATTAACTATATGAAAAAATGTTCAATCTTACCAATAACTAAGGAGATGAAAATGAAAATATTAACTTTTATCATCAAATTCAGATTTTTAAAGTTGTGTCATCCAATATTGGCAAGGTAATGAGTAAATACATACTCCTACATTGTGAAAGTGTGAAATGGTTCCAACTTGGCAAACTGTATTAAAAGCCTGAAAAAATATCCAATTCTTTTGAACCAGTAATACCACTTTCAGGAGTTCACTGTATGGATATAAAAAAAAGATATACAAAAAGATTTAGGTGCTACTATATTTCACTGTATTATATAACAGAATATCCATTCACATTAGTGAAAAACTTGAAGCAACCTAACTTTCAACATCGTATCAGTTAAGTAAGCTGTATACCCTTCAACAGAGTTCTGCAGCCATTTAAAAATCTGTTTTCGGGGCACCTGGGTGGCTCAGTCAGTTAAGCGTCTGCCTTCGGCTCAGGTCATGATCCCAGGGTCCTAGGATCAAGCCCCACATCGGGCTCCCTGCTCAGTGGGGAGCCTGCTTCTCCCTCTCCCTCTGTGCTCTCTTTCTCAAATAAATAAAATCTTAAAAAAAAAAAATCTGTTTTCAACAACATTTAATGGTATGGGCAAACTTTAATGTTATACCCATGTTAGTCCATGTTCACTACTCAAGAAGTAAGCCCCCCTGCTAATAATCATCCCCTCTCATACTATGGCCACATTGCTCATGTCTTTTACCTTGATTAAAACCTTCCCATGAAGTCCTCTATAATCCCTGCATTCTCATCCTCTTTCATAAACCTTTATTTCCTTGACTGAAACTGCCTCTTTCCTAAAGATACCCTTTCTTCTGAGGCTGCTCATGGCTTACATACTTCACTTTAGGAAGACCCTGTGTCTCCTCCTGATTCTAGTGTCATACACTATGGGTAAAAGTAAAACCCCGACTCCTTTGAAGTTCATATCATATGACTACTACCTTTATCCCTTTTTACTCTTAATTTATGAATTCTTTATTACTATCTCTGACACCTGATCTGTTTTCCTCTCTGCTTTATATCATGCCATCATCATCACAGAAAATCCATACAACACACTGACCTGACCTTGTTTTCCTCAGGTCCAGTTATGATGGTTTCCTCTCCGTGTAGCCACCCTATCATTGGCACTCTTGTCATTATCTGCAACTGCCCCAGCTCTGAAACTGTAAATCTGGACAACCAACCCAACAACAACCACCACTTTTCTACCAAATTTCACTGTATAGAAGATGTACATTATTTCACATCCTTATATTGATGAAATCAGGACAAACTTTATAATCAGCAGGCATCATCTAACTGCTGTTGACCAAGAGATATTCTTAATAGTTGGTTCTACCTGCATGTGTGTAAATACTAAAACAGCATCAGCACCAAAACCTGCAGAATGAATATCAAGTGTTGGTGACATAGCATTTCTTAAAATTATGCAATTATGTAGAGATAATTTACTTTGGACTCCCACTTGGGATTACTACTTAATATGCCTAGTTCACTACCTCCAAACACCCTCCTTACGACCATTAAGCTCGATCTCAGAAAGAATGATAAATGTGGAAAAACACAGTCATCAGTGAGTCTGAGTGAAGAAGTCCAAAAGACTGATGATGACTCCCTCATATGCATTCCTTGGAAAATCTGAACAAAATCAGTGAGAACTTCCTATTATTAAGAAAAAAACAAACAAAAAACTCTGGATTTGAAAAAGTTTTAGGGATCCCTTAACTAATTATTTTTATTCATATTTTGCTGCTTTTTAATATAAGAGTAACCAAAGGTAAAAATTTATATCTTAAGACTAAAAGAACTTTCAATATTGTATTGTATAGTAAATATATAATTAGAATTCTAACTCATAGAACTATCATAGTTTAATTGGTAGTGTTTTCTTAATGATGCATAAAATAACAGTGCAATTTACAATGTTTCAGATTTTTTTAAATAAGATTTTATTTATTTATTTAACAGAGAGAGACACAGTGAGAGAGGGAACACAAGCAGGGGGAGTGGGAGAGGGAGAATCAGGCTCCCCACTGAGCAGGGAGCCCGATGCGGGGCTCGATCCCAGGACCCTGGGATCATGACCTGAGCCAAAGGCAGATGCTTAACGACTGAGCCACCCAGGTGCCCCAATGTGTCAGATTTCAATAAAATACATAGCTCTCTTGCTCATTTATTTCCACTTTATCTTTTCTTTGATCTTATGGATGCCACTAATCCCTTGATTTTTCTATTTTTTTATTAGCATCTTTACAGTAGTGAATCTTCAACTACTCTTGCCAATAATTAAACTCCCATTGCCCATCTTTTGCACCTATTTGATAAATATGAGTCCTGAATCCATGCAACTACCTCTGTCTATAGTAAGGCAGCTAAGCACTCCTGGAAAATATTATTTCTTAGCTTCCAACTGTAATTGGGTCCTAACTGTATTTACCAAACATCCTCTGTTACTAATCAAGTCTCTCTTTTTTCTCTACCAACTATATTCAGGCCTCCTCTCTTTGTAAACCTCCTATACCCTGTCAACTTTCCCTATATATGACATTACCACTACCTTTAAAAATTATTATGAAAAATTATGTACAAAAAGGGTACAAAAAATAACGTAGTACCTGTGAATTCATTACCCAGCCTAAGAAATGGAACATTATCAGTAGAGATGAAGTCACTGTATATCCTTCCCTAAATCTCATCTCCCATCCTTTCCATCCTAAATTTTTATATAGTCTCCTTGCTTTTTGTTAGTTTTGCTACGTATGTATTGAAGGAGTTCAGGACATGGCCACCCCAAAATATGCTCCTTTGGCAAATACTGATTATTTTGAACTGAAGAAACTTGAAAATTGCCACGTGAAAGGTGCCTTCCCTGTACCAGAAGGAAGAAACTGCATTTTTTTTTTTTTTAAAGATTTTATTTATTTATTTGACAGAGCAAGAGAGCACAAGCAGGAGGAGCAGGAGAGGGAGAAGCAGACTCCCCACTGAGCAGGGAGCCTGACACGGGGCTCAATCCCAGAACCCTGGGATCACAACCTGAGCTGAAGGCAGACACTCAACCATCTGAGCCACCCAGGCGCCGCTTTTCTGTATTTTCTAAATGGTCTAAAAGAATATGCATTTTTTACATAACCAGGAGGTTACTATAACTTATTAAGTAACCAGAAATTATTCTAATTTATTAAGTAACAAAAGCAACTTTAAGATCCTACTCAGAACTGAAAGTTAATTATGCTTAGTATCTTGACCAGCTGTGGAATATAAAGTGCAACCTGCCTTTGTGTGGTCAAAGTTTCTAATTCTACACCTTCAGTCAGTTAGTACTTAGTGTTAATAGGTCACTCCATGCCAACCTTCAAAGAACGAAACAAACTGAACTAATACCTTTATTTAAC